TATTGTTATTAGAGGTATACAGGTGTCAGGGAATTATTAACAGTTGGAGGATCTAAGCACTTGATCCTAACGAATGTTTTCCATGTGTGTTAATGTCCTACTCAATCACACAACTTCAATTTCTGTTCAACTTTACATACTTATATATAGACGGAGTGTACTTGCGAGTGCAGGTGTATGACGCAAGTCCTATCAAAAAGATATTGAACGGTATGCACTGACCAGTTTGACCTCTGCTTAGCCAGACAATATCAGCGATGAAGATCCCCGTCACCTAAAAGCTAACTCGGACTTACTCTACATTGCTGGCTTACGAACATTTCCACGACCGTATTAGAATTTCAACTATTATCCATATATATTAATACATGTAATTCTTGTAGATAATTCGGTTACCTAATGATACTTGATTTAAGAAGACACAAATGCCAAAATTGAAAATACATATATATATACTCGGCGCCAATGAAAACGCAACACTAAAATTTTGGACATAATATATTCTTCACAACAAGGATTAGATTCTTATTCTGCTGTATTTAGCCACAACACAGTGCACTACAAAACTAACGAAATAATGGTCGAGTAATATCGACTCCTTGTCGTACCACAGGGCATTGTCGTAAAAGCATGAGTTTGCACGTCGGCGCTCTAAAGTGCGTTATATCCTTGCTCAGTCACTACTAGTGAACACTGTAGTTACAGGCAGACATTTTTCCGTCATCAATTTTTTAAATTGTCATCATTATTTGCTACAAATGCCTCGGCTGACAGACAATGAAAGACACGAAGCTCGGGGTATGCTGGCAGGAGGGCTTTCTCAGAGGGAAGTTGCCAGGAGAATGGGTTGTTCTGCTTCCACAATCAATCGACTGGCAGAACGAGTGCGACAAACCGGATCCGTATCGACCTCGTTCGGGGCGACAGAGAGTGACGACGCCAAACCAGGACCGTTACATTCGACTAAGTCACCTGCGAGATCGTTTTCAAACCGCGACAAGAACGGCTAGACAGACGATAGGAAGTCATGGCAGACGTTTGTCAGCTAGTACTGTGCGCCGTCGCCTTCGCACAGCCGGATTGGCGTCGCGCCGTCCATTTAGAGGAAACGAATTGACTCAAATTCGCCGTCAAAATCGTCTAAATTGGACAAGACAGCGCCGAGGATGGACCCAACGTCGGTGGGCTGCAGTCCTGTTCACCGACGAATCGAGATTCCGCCTCAGAGGAAATGACGGTAGAATTCGAGTGTGGCGACGTCGAGGTGAAAGGTTTTTGGACTGCTGTGTAACGGAAACGGATAGGTGGGGCGGGGGCAGTGTGATGGTGTGGGGAGGTATCTCTTTTGCATACCGTACCCCTCTAGTAATTATTGACGGCAATCTAACAGCACAGCGCTACATCAACGAGGTCTTAACTCCTGCTGTTGTTCCATTCTTTGCTGGACACCCAAACGTAGCGTTATTACAACAGGACAATGCACGACCACATACCGCTCGTATCACTACAGACTACCTTCAACATCAGAACATCGCAACCCTTCCGTGACCCGCGTTTTCCCCGGATCTTAGTCCGATCGAGCATCTTTGGGACCAATTGGGTAGGGCTGTGAGAGAGCGACCACAACAGCCCCAGACGCGTCGGCAGCTTGAAATCGCTCTTCAGGAAGAGTGGAGGAACATTCCTCAAATCAAAATTCAACGCCTTATTCGGTCAATGCCTCGAAGATGCGGCGCTTGTGTCGCTGCAAATGGTGGCCACATTAGATATTGAACGTGGTAATTTTGATTTTGGGGGTATGGACATTAGTCACCGGTAATCAAAGTATTCCCATGATGTAGTGCTGATTGCATTGAGTGAATTTTGTTATGGACATAATCAACTTTTAGGTATTTTATTAAATATTGTATTCAAAACTATAACTGGTAAATTTTGACAGTAATTTAAAGGTGTTGCGTTTTCATTGACACCGAGTATATATATTCAAACGTGAAATATTTCACGCAGAACATACACCCAGAAGCCATATGACACTTTTAACAAAATTTTTGATACTTTCTAAACCTTTCAATTTACAGTCTTTCCGTATACTTTGATGGTAAGTCTCGTGTTTTCTTTGTTGTTGATTGTATAGTTATGTGTGGAATGCGACATTGCTTACAGAAAGCATTGACTTTCTCATGTCGTCGATAAAGCAGAAGGCGCTTACCCCTCCAAAACACCAAGTCCAAAGTCCAAATTTTAGCCTCGTTTCTCTGGTTTTAAGTTTGATTGTAGACTTCGCTGATATGACGTTGTGTTATTTTTCTTTTTTATGATTGATCTTGTGATTTATCATTACATTCTCTGTAAGTTTAATCTTAAAAAAACGTCCATACGTATTGTGTAAAAAAAGTGCTGCCAATCTGTAGTCATCATGGTCATACTTCTTCATTTTTAAGGATCAGAGGTCACCAGGGACAAAAGACCTTGTAATATACTCTTACCCGTGTATGTATTTCAAGGATTTCTAATTTTTGTTTAATCATTATTTTGACTAAATACGACAGGGAAAATTATTTCAAATAATTAAATACTAACCAAGAGCAGGTCAAGATGTGTTTATTATCAAGTTGATTTAACGGAGAGATGACAATAGTGGATACAATATTGGATAAATAAAGGATCAGTCGGATTTGATTATGTCAGATTGTGACCTCGAGCTGCAGATTTGTTTTTCTGTCAGAATGTGACCACAAGCTGCAGATTTTGTTTTTCTGTCAGATTGTGACGTCGAGCTGCAGATTTTGTTTTTCTGTCAGAATGTGACCACAAGCTGCAGATTTTGTTTTGCTGTCAGATTGTGACCTCGAGCTGCAGATTTTGTTTTTCTGTCAGAATGTGACCTCGAGCTGCAGATTTGTTTCTTCTGTCAGATTGTGACCTCGAGCTGCAGATTTTGTTTTTCTGTCAGAATGTGACCACAAGCTGCAGATTTTGGTTTTTTCTGTCAGATTGTGACCTCGAGCTGCAGATTTGTTTCTTCTGTCAGATTGTGACCTCGAGCTGCAGATTTTGTTTTTCTGTCAGAATGTGACCACAAGCTGCAGATTTTGGTTTTTTCTGTCAGATTGTGACCTCGAGCTGCAGATTTGTTTCTTCTGTCAGATTGTGACCTCGAGCTGCAGATTTTGTTTTTCTGTCAGAATGTGACCTCGAGCTGCAGATTTTGTTTTTCTGTCAGATTGTGACCTCGAGCTGTAGATTTGTTTTTCTGTCAGAATGTGACCACAAGCTGCAGATTTTGTTTTTCTGTCAGAATGTGACCACAAGCTGCAGATTTTGTTTTTCTGTCAGAATGTGACCACAAGCTGCAGATTTGTTTTTCTGTCAGAATGTGACCTCGAGCTGCAGATTTTGTTTTTCTGTCAGATTGTGACCTCGAGCTGCAGATTTGTTTTTCTGTCAGAATATGACCTCGAGCTGCAGATTTTGTTTTTCTGTCAGAATGTGATCTCTAGCTGCAGATTTGTTTTTCTGTCAGAATGTGACCACAAGCTGCAGATTTTGTTTTTCTGTCAGATTGTGACGTCGAGCTGCAGATTTTGTTTTTCTGTCAGAATGTGACCTCGAGCTGCAGATTTGTTTTTCTGTCAGAATGTGACCACAAGCTGCAGATTTTGTTTTTCTGTCAGATTGTGACGTCGAGCTGCAGATTTTGTTTTTCTGTCAGAATGTGACCTCGAACTGCAGATTTGTTTTTCTGTCAGAATGTGACCACAAGCTGCAGATTTTGTTTTTCTGTCAGAATGTGACCACAAGCTGCAGATTTTGTTTTTCTGTCAGATTGTGACGTCGAGCTGCAGATTTTGTTTTTCTGTCAGAATGTGACCTCGAACTGCAGATTTGTTTTTCTGTCAGATTGTGACCTCGAGCTGCAGATTTTGTTTTTCTGTCAGATTGTGACCTCGAACTGCAGATTTGTTTTTCTGTCAGATTGTGACGTCGAGCTGCAGATTTTGTTTTTCTGTCAGATTGTGACCACAAGCTGCAGATTTTGTTTTTCTGTCAGATTGTGACCTCGAGCTGCAGATTTTGTTTTTCTGTCAGATTGTGACCTCGAGCTGCAGATTTTGTTTTGCTGTCAGAATGTGACGTCGAGCTGCAGATTTTGTTTTTCTGTCAGATTGTGACCTCGAGCTGCAGATTTTGATTTTCTGTCAGATTGTGACCTCGAGCTGCAGATTTTGTTTTGCTGTCAGAATGTGACGTCGAGCTGCAGATTTTGTTTTTCTGTCAGATTGTGACCTCGAGCTGCAGATTTTGTTTTTCTGTCAGATTGTGACCTCGAGCTGCAGATTTTGTTTTGCTGTCAGAATGTGACGTCGAGCTGCAGATTTTGTTTTTCTGTCAGATTGTGACCTCGAGCTGCAGATTTTGATTTTCTGTCAGATTGTGACCTCGAGCTGCAGATTTTGTTTTGCTGTCAGAATGTGACGTCGAGCTGCAGATTTGTTTTTGTCCGTTAGTCATAAACGAGGAACTGAATGGTACATCATATCATCTTATTTTTGTGTCCAATGAAAAATGTTTCAGTGAAAAATGCCTTACAATGAAAACTAAGAACGGGGAGTGCAAAGATGTTAAGAAGACATGTTTTTATTTCAAAACAATATTTAGGACAAACAGGCACGCCAGATAGAGAAAACATTTATCCTGTTGTTGACCAAATCTCAAAATCATTATTTGAGGTTAGCTTTAACCTGAAGAATTCCCACGAATCTGTTGTTACACTTCATGTGTTATCAACATGCGTTCATAACCGAAATAAATAACAACATTTTCTTATGAAAAAAATAAATCTCAAAAATAGTTTATTAATAGACTCATTTTCACCTGACAAAACAACTTACAAATAAACGTAAGATACAACAAAAGTTCTCATCCTCATCACATTCTGCATATTCGTCAGGTATGACGTCATTCTGCACATGCGCCAGATATGACGTCATCTACGTTTATTAGGATGACATCATCTTCATAACCCGGATGTAGTACTCGATAGCGTTGTCATAACATTTTATTTTATCCATGCTCGGAGGGCACATGAGCACACCCTTTTTGTCATATGGCATATTCCTTTTGCCGATGTTTCTAACGGACACGGGATCGGTTAGTCCATTCTGGATCCTGGCGTAGAGACTTAGGTAAGAGTGTATACAGCGAAGTTTGTTGACGCCTCCAGGGCACAGGGATGTCAGTCCGTCTCCATTTCTCTTGTATGGATGGTACGTGCTGTCATTATCTGTAAAGATAAAAACAATAGATGTCGTCATGTGGTAATGAACACGCAGCGTTCTGATAACTCAGTTTTGAGATATCTTATGAATGAACTTTTACGAATGAATAAGTTATAGTTCTAAAAACTGTCTCTAGATGGATTCATGGCTCAAATCACATAGATGTAGTTAAGGAAGCAGCACAGAAGACACCCGACTGAAGTTGTTTGTATAAAAAATAACACGATTCATCATTATTGTAAGGAAATATTTATACATTCTTTTAACATATTGATATTGAAATATGCTTAAATAATAAATCGGCTATACCCAATTTCATGGCTATTTTAAACACATCAATAAGACTGTTAGCTACAGTTGTATGTCTATATACGCTATTACTGACAAACTTGACTGTTCTAACCAAAGTCGGTATCTGACCAAAGTCACGCCACTGTAACTAAACAGAACATGTACTGTCAGTTTACTGTTATGTCTAGGTTCAGTATCTGAAACATTTAGTCACTCAACGAAACATCCCATAAGCCATATATTGTTGATATTGATTCAATGTATCAATGTGCTCCCCACCCAATTACCCCTGGATTGTGGTACAAAAAAAAAAAATAAACAAAAAAATGGCAAAATTAAGAATTTGTGTCTTTTGGTTTTCAAATACGATTATTGATATCAAAGCATTAATACGTGGTATAACTGGTTTTAACATGTCAGACGAAGAACCTCTTTAGTGTGTCTGATTTTTCGAAATAAGAAAATAAAATGAAAGTGAGACTAAAACAACAAGCGTAGCATGTCAATATTGGACGATCTTACAGCAGCTAAAAATGACTACAAATTTTCCCGATTTCCGCATTAAAACAGTTCTATGACGAATTACTTTCGCGCAGACCGTTGTTAAATTCCAAGTAAATGTTGTTTATTAACATTCCGTCAGCAGTCTCGCTTGCGGTCATTTAGTAATTTGTTCCCATTTTTACGGTCAATATTGTGTTTTTTGTTCGTTGATAGAATCATGGATCAACCTCATAAAACGTTGTAATTATGTAATATACGTATTTATCATCCTTTCAACCAAGTGTACCTATTTTCTTTACTTTCGTGAGATGTGGCACAAATTCTTCGCAATATTACTTAAGAATTCTCATTCAGCTCTGTTTTAAATATGGCACTTTTTGCTTCTGAACCACCGACGCGGAAACCATAAAAAATTACTTTATACACAGCAAACCTTGAATACAACAAGCCATCTGATTGGTTGATAAAAAGTGTTTGTTTTCCATTATCTGAAAGGCTGCATATTTGAGAAGTGCATCATTATATCAATGGATTAGATCTGGTGTGAGAAAACCAAGGAATTCAATTAGCTTTATGGCTTTTGGAGTTTAAATTATGGGAAGGAAACAAAAAGTAAAGTGACCTCTGCTGATAGGAAGGACGTAAATCTGACAACGTCAAATACGTCATATTTCTAATAATCATTTTGTATGCAAAAGCTGCACATGGGACTAAGATATGAAGGAACCACGTGATTACGTACGTAAGTGGATAGGGGTGGTTGTATAAAGCCTATGTCAACAAGGCATTCAGGAACAGTTTATATCTTGTCAGCAGCACATGAGAACGATTAATTTGTGGAGAAGTGATGTGTGGTGCCAAGGATCTTCACACATGTTGGGACCTGTACAAGTGTTCAGTGTGTACACAGAAAACGTATAGATGCGTTGGTATCCTCTTTTCAACCACTTTGTTTAAATTCAAAATTCCGATCCCGAGTTGCAAACCATTTTTTTTTTATTGTTTTTACTACAAAATTATCATGTCAAATTCGAACTACATGTTTTACGTTGTAAACTGATATGTTGAACAGCTGTCTTACTGAAACAAGATAACAAAGTTACTGTTTTAAATGGCACTATCTTTTCCACGATAAGAACAATTTTACAGTAACCAAATTACTAACCACATTTCAAAATGTTATCGGTAGTCTACTCCGGTTACTCCAAATTTCGAAATCCACAAGACAATAATAACATGTAAACGAATCCTGACTGACATCGGTCAATAGGTTCGAGCGGAGTTAATCATAATAACCCAACCAATTTCTCAGTATAAATACATTTTTCAGTAAATACAATATACCAATTTCTCATATGCCATCGATAATGTATATGAAAACAGAAATGTATGCCGGAGACTTTGTTTCAAACTTGTATTAACCAGAAGTGAAGGACAACTGATACCCAAGAGAATACAGATAACAGAAAATTGATTACTTTGAGCCTACTAACACCCGTAATAAGGACGACATTCAAACAAAAATCGCTGATAATCAGGTCCCTTTTGTTAAAGTCAAACTGTGGTTAGTGAAATGTTTTAATATGAATCAAGCAATGATGAGAATATTTTTTGATATTTTAGAAGTTTGTTGATACAGGTCAGATTGGTATTTTAATGAGCTAGTTTTGCTTTGAATGCCAATGTACTTTTCAGTGACAGCAAATTAAATTTTTCACTAACCTAGTTAACCCTAACCAACCTTTGAGTATACGTGGTCAGCAGGAAAGCAAAACAAAGACAGTGATAGGAGCGTATCAACCGTAGGGTAGAAAAGAATTAAAAGGATAGACATAAATGTAATACTCTTTCCAAACGGTATAAGTCAACTACTTTACTATTAATGTAATATCCAATTTGCGTCAACTACTTTATAAATGTAATACTCTTTCCAATTCACGGTATAGGATTCGTCAACTACTTTACTATTAATGTAATACTCTTTCCAATTCACGGTATAGGATTCGTCAACTACTTTACTATTAATGTAATACTCTGTAATACTCAATTCACGGTATAGGATTCGTCAACTACTTTACTATTAATGTAATACTCTTTCCAATTCACGGTATAGGATTCGTCAACTACTTTACTATTAATGTAATACTCTTTCCAATTCACGGTATAGGATTCGTCAACTACTTTACTATTAATGTAATACTCTTTCCAATTCACGGTATAGGATTCGTCAACTACTTTACTATTAATGTAATACTCTTTCCAATTCACGGTATATGATTCGTCAACTACTTTACTATTAATGTAATACTTTATTTTGCGAACTTACCTCTTCAGAAATCTTCGCGAATACACGATTTCGCGAACGATGATCTAGAAATGACTTTCGCGAATGAAGAACTATAAGCTATATGGACTTCAATGTCGGCAACGGAATCAGTATGGATGTCATCTAGAGTTATTTCTGTACTAGCTGTCTTTGCACTGTACTGTATTAACTCGAAAATAAATCACACGCAAAAAGTGATTTACAGTAAATATGTATATAAAATTAATATTTACACAGATCAATCGTTTTTTTATTATTTAGAAATCAACAAAATTGTTTTTGCCAACAACGCCCAATATGTTTAGTCAAAACATCAGAGCTCTCTAGAACGTTATCTGCCTATTGTCAACAACGCCCAACATGTCTAGTAAAAACATCAGAGCTCTCTAGAACGATATCTGCCTATTGTCAACAACGCCCAACATGTCTAGTAAAAACATCAGAGCTCTCTAGAACGATATCAACCTATTGTCAATTCCCAACATGTCTAGTCAAAACATCAGAGCTCTCTAGAACGTTATCTGCCTATTGTCAACAACGCCCAACATGTCTAGTAAAAACATCAGAGCTCTCTAGAACGATATCTACCTATTGTCAACTCCCGACATGTTGAGTCAAAACATCAGAGCTCTCTAGAACGATATCTACCTACTCTGAATATTCGTCATGTCGAGACCAAACATCAAAGCCCCAGCAACGTTTCAGCGACTTTTGAACAATGTCATCAGAAATCTGGATGGATGTGATGGGTACATCGATGATGTGATCATATACAGCGACATCTGGGAGGAACATGTTCAACGCATTCGGGATTTCTTCGACAGACTAACAAGTATGAAACTGACTGTTAACTTGATAAAGTGTGAATTTCGGCATGCAACTGTTGAACGTTTAGGTCACACTGTAGGTCAGGGACAGATACGACCTGTAAAGGCTGAAGTAGCAACAATCTTAGATTTTCCTGTTCCTCGCAACAGGAGAGAACTAATGAGATTTCTTGGTATGGCTGGCTATACCGCAAATTTTGTCAAAATTTCTCTGTTATCACGGAACCTTTAACTGGGTTGTTGAAGGAAAACACCAGGTTTATTTGGACTGATAAATGCCAATGTGCATTTGAAAAAGTCAAAGTCATACTGTCAAACTCGCCAGTTCAAACTGTATTTAGATGCTAGTGATGTCGGGGTTGGTGCTGTACTCATGCAGGAAGATGATTCACAAGTTGATCACCCTATATGTTTCTTTTCAAAGAAATTTGACAAACACCAAAAGAACTATTCTACTATTGAAAAAGAATGTTTGGCTTTGATCTTGGCTCTGAACCAATTTGAAGGTTATTTGTCAACTACTGCTTCTCCTGTGTTAGTATACACAGACCACAATCCATTGACAGTCATCGGAAAAATGACAAACAAAAACCAGAGAATTCTGAGATGGAGTTTAAGCCTTCAAGGATACAACCTTGACATTCGGCATATCAAAGGTAACGACAATGTTGTCGCAGATGCTTTATCTAGAGTTTAGGAATTTCAGGTCAAAAGAAATTTTTCCTCAAAAGAAAAACTTTCTTTTTCTTTAAGGAGGGGTGTGTTATGTATAAATGTTGTGTATTAAACCAAATTCAGATGTGCCGTGTTTACATGCATTGTATCATATTGATTGTTTACATCAAAAACTCCTTATAATTATTTGTCACAATATGTGTAGATAGTGCTAGGCAGATTTTTCTAGAAGCTCGGTTACTACAATGACCTGTGTGTTTCCTGAAGTTTATAAATCTAGAAAGCTCGGTTAATAGAATGACCTGGGTGTTTCCGGAAGTTTCTAGAGACACATGTAAACAAGGTAGGTACCTACCAGTCTAGAATCATCTATAAAAGAACT